AAAAATAACAACACTTTGTCAGGACCATGAGGCGATCATTCCTACCAACTTTCAGTTCAATCGGTCCAGCAGAACTTGACTTTAAGTTTGAAATAGGTTTTCAAAATGGCGGCCGTGGCGGCCATATTGGATTTCTGATCGACCCGAAAAATAACAACACTTTGTCAGGACCATGAGGCGATCATTCCTACCAACTTTCAGTTCAATCGGTCCAGCAGAACTTGACTTTAAGTTTGAAATAGGTTTTCAAAATGGCGGCCGTGGCGGCCATATTGGATTTCTGATCGACCCGAAAAATAACAACACTTTGTCAGGACCATGAGGCGATCATTCCTACCAACTTTCAGTTCAATCGGCCCAGCAGAACTTGACTTTAAGTTTGAAATGTAAAATGTTAACGGACGACGGACGACGGACGACGACGGACGAAAACGGATAGCAATAGGTCACTTGAGCTAAAGCTCAGGTGACCTAAAAATCTTGAACAATCTAGTAGTAATGATAACAAAAAGATTATCCTATATGCAGGTTATACACCTATTAAAGAATTTGAAATAAAATATAGCATATTTACCCTTGAACTCATCTGGTATTTCACCATAGTCAATTTCTGCCTCCCTCTTTTGCTTGACTAGATCTTCAACTTTACTCTGCAGTGACCGGAAACTATCAATCTCGTTGTGAGTCTTGATGTTGGCCCGCATCATCCGAGCAATGGCATCCTCGAATAGCTCCTTACGGTATGATCTCTGTTAATAGGAGAATGTTTCATTGACAAAATTTAAATTTAAAAATCTCAAAAGAGAGCTCATTGAAATGTTTGAAATTTATTGATTTTTGAAGTGATAAATTATACCCCACAACTCAGTGGGGTGGGTGGGGGTGGGGGTGNGGGCTTAATATTTATCACTTTGTCAGTGCATCTGTCCATGTGACCGTCTGTCCGTGTGACTATCTGTCTGAAGTAAACAGCTTGTGTACAAGATATCTCATAACACTATTTAGTTCATATTTACACCATAGTATGGTAACATTGAGTTCTGCACCTGATTAGATTTTGGTGGTCATCAGTCAAGGTTAAAAGGTCAAAGGTCACAGACAAAGCTTCAATTCATTATAAGGCTTGTGTTCAAGATATCTCATGAGCGTCACAACACATTTAGTATATACATGTATTTAAAACATAGTATGGTAATATCGAGTTCAAAAGTTTATAAGATGTTGGTGGTCATTGATCAAGGTTAAAGACTCAAAGGGCACAGGCAAAGCATCAATCCATAGTTAAAGCTTGTGTTCAAGATATCTCATGAGCCTCAAAACATTTTAATTTATATTTAAAACATAGTAATGTAATAGTTCTAAATTTGGTAAGATTTTGGTGGTCACCAGTCAAGATTAAAACTGATTACAGACTATACCTTGTACACCATTTCCTTACAGGTGGAGTGGTATATCTATGTGAGCTTCCACTCACTTCCTGTGTATTTTAAGTGATGTTTGTATATTTTGATTTCATTATTTTGTTCACACAAACAAACCTCATCATCTGCTATAGCTTTGGCGAAGGCCTCACAGTCTAGGTGGAGATAAATGTCTGTCAGTGTGTTCAGCAGCTTCCTAGGTACCCAGCCATACTTATCTGGGTTTTTCACTTTAAGGTTTTTACATTTTGATCCACACAGCTGTTGCAGGTTGAAATTTAACATAGCAGCTAACCGGTCAGCTAGTTCCTGTGAAGTAAAGAGGAAAAATAACTTTTAATCAGATCAGAAAGTTGCTCATTCTTCATGTAACCTTATGACCAAAGAAATGGTATGACTTTTTATCTGTTTGCTATCTGTAGTATTTCCAAAAAAAAGAATCACTAGGCATTTCTTTCAAATAATGTATAATAACACAACAGGAACAGGACACATATAAAACATGTGATAACATATTCTTGGCTTTGCTTTACATCACAAAATGACACGATTTAACATTCAATTTATTTCAAAACCTAGGCTGTCAACAGCTAACACAGTTATTTTCTTTAGATTTACATCCACTTTCACTTAGCAATGAACATTGTTTCAGAAAAAACATTTTATAAGCCTCACTATGCTATGAGTGAAGTAGAAAATTATGTACCATAGAATCAACCTACAAGGATAAAACTTAAACTCAACATTAAGATTTAACGATAGGAAAAAGAAATCCAAAACTCCACAAAAAACAGAGGCTAAACCATTTCGTGCATCAGATGTGCCACTACCATGATGTCACCTGGTAAATCCAGGAAAGTATCAGAGACAGCATATTCTAAATTACGGACCAAAAGCTGTACATACCAGAGTGAGAAACGGCTCCTTGATTTTCTTTGTAAGATAATGGAACATGTCTACTGTTTCTGTAGCAAGTGTGAGATAGGAGCGGCATTGTCGTTCATCCATGGCCAGCTGACGTTGTCGAGACTGTTGTTCTTCCTGTAAACAATCAATCCTTATCATCAAAATTTGTATAGTACATGTACTTAATACTGTATGTATTTTTTGGTCACTAAAATATATGTTACAACAGTCACTACAGAAAAATCACTACCATTATCATTTACTGCTTCACCTGTTGATATATATGATATAATGCTGATCATGATGTGAATAAACAACCCTTTCCATGAAGGATATCCTGAGATGTGTACTGTACGACCCTATACAGGTGTTGGACACATGTCACAGTCAAGTACAGACATTTTATGTGTGTAATTTACCGTCAAAGATTTTAAAAGATTTGCTTAGCATTACCTCCTGTATTTTTACAAATATTTCTTTTAAATATGTCATCCCCTGAATAAATCACCCAAATTTCCATTTTTTTTTTTTAAAAAGATACTTTTCAAATGAGTTTTAGTATGGAAATTTCTTGGAAAGAAGATGCATTTCAAAGTAAGCTAGCGTATGTCCTTAGTAAATAAGGCAATCAATAGTCCCCCTACTGATAATGATTTCTTTATTTACTGAGCTATACACCTATCTCAGGATATAGGTCACAGTGACAAACGTCTTGTACTCCACACTCCGCAAGCCAAGATATACATACCAAACCTGGTGTGAAATAGTATAGAAGATATGTCCCTGACAAACCTTTTCAAAGGTTGAGGTCAAATGGTCAAACCATATGCCACAGTGAACTACATTTTGCACTTGATCCTGCGCTATCCCAAGATGTACTCTCATAATCTTGTTACTTCAGGTGAAATGGTAAAGAAGATATTCCCTTGACAATTTTTTTCAAAGGTTTAAGTCAAAGGTCAAACAAAATGCCACAATGACATACTATTTGTACTTGACACTCTGCCATCCCAAGATGTGCTTGCATACCAAATCTGGTTACTACTTGTGAAAAAGTAAAGAAAGAGGAACTCTTTGGGAGGAATTTGAATTGACGGGCCAACAGATGGAGTGCAAACCTTTAGTACACCCTGGGAATTTGTGACTCCTATACCTACTTTTGGTTGTTTGGCCCATTCCACTGTGTTTTCCATGTCTTCCTGGATTTCATGGATCCTTTTCAAGCAGTCCAGACTCTCGTCCAACAGGAATGTTGTATCATTCATCAGCATGTTCACAAACTTCACAAAATGTTTGCCATTCCTGGTAAAACAAATCATCACAAAACTTGTTTTTTAACTTGTCATTCAATAAAAAAAAATTAGAAAACGTCTGCATGTCCCCTTGGCCCTGTGGTTGACCTATAAATGCTATATCACTTATATTACACCCTTTTTAATTTGATTTCATGAATTCAAATAGATTTTGAGTCTACTCTCAGGCACATACATTCAAAACCACAAGAATATTATAGTAAGTCTTGAAGTAACGATTAAGTGATTTGCAGTGTATCAAATCCAGTCAAATTCTTCAGTTTATCAAGCAGTGCTTAATTTGTTATGTTTCATTTGATCTGAATTAATCATCCATCTTAACTCAAACTATTTATAAGTCCCATCATATTAAGTCTTTATTTTTTCAACAAATTTAATCCCTTGGATACCTCAATCATGTGTCCTGGACAAAAACTTGCTGTAAATATTAGAATGTGTGTCAAAAAAAAATGTCCCAAAAAAATAATTTGAAGTTAAAATAAGAGAATATTCCGTCTTTGCGTATTGCAGAGTTATCTTCTCTTGTGAGCAGTTATTGATTGTTACGTCATTGGTTTGTGTGAGAAAATTGCGTTGTTTTCTCAAAAATTGATGACGTTACTCTCAAAAACAAATGACGTAACAATCAATACCTGCAATACGCAAAGATGGAATAAAGGATGCATGTAGTACATTTCTCACCAACTTTCTAATAGATGCAGGAAAGGGAAGAATAAAGAAAGTTACCTAGCCTCATCAATCATTCTTAGCTGATGACTTGGAATGCTCCACATGGCCTTGAAGATGATGCTGAGGTGATAACGAATTGTAAACTTGTCATAAAACTCACTGCTGGCCCCTGTTGTCTCAATATCTATGGAAACAAAATAAAACCATAATTATCTTAATCAATTAAGAAAAAAGTTCTGAATAGATTATATTAGGTAAAATTTTATCAGAAATAGTTAAATTATGCATTATATTCAAATGATCTCGATCAAATTATGAGTAAAAGGACTGACTGATTAACAGTCAGAATTAATAAATGTGATTGTATCTCTGTGTCATGTTAAACAAGTTTCTCCCTTGAACAAGATCTATTCTAGTTTTGAAATTGGAGAAATTACCCTTAGCTCTCATGGTTTCTCATTTTTTTAAATACCTTTTTCAAATTTGACCACTTTGAACTTGAAAATGGTTCCTAGACATGCAGTTTCATAACATGAAAGCTCTTCAAACTAGCTTCAGGACAAATATTTTGACTCTTGGCCTCATAGTTTTATACATGATTTCGTCTGAAGTGTCATTTGACAATAAAAGCAGGCCTTTGATCCCAGCAAGCTAGAATCCTGATGGTTCTGTATAAGTTGTTTTTATTTTTTTTCTCGTATGTGACCTGTGTGACTTTGATACTTGATAAAGATTTTGAACAGAAATGATAGGAATATAACATTTTTTGGCAGTAATCTATATATACTGTACCTGTATAAAAGGTCATGAGGGCAGGGACTAGATGCTGGAGAGCAAGTGGATGCATGAGTAGTCTTGTGTGAAGGTTCACTGTCTGTTGCTGTATGGCAGGATTCATGACGAAAATGACTTCGACAAGCTTGGCAGTGAGATAGGGATTGTTGATGTAGCGTGTGCTACTACAGATCAGCACCACCAATACATGTATGATGCGGTCAGAGCATGGATCGTCAAAAATCTGGGGCACAAACCTGAGAGGAAACAAAATTCAAGATTTATATAAAGATCTTGTATTTAAAACATTCATCTTGTATTAAAAACTTTCAGACTAGTTGCTTGAAGTACAATCTATCCCTAAACAAGAGGCCCATGGGCACACTAACTTCTTTGGGCCACGCCCTACACCCCTTGGGGGTAGGGCTGGCTCAAAATTTTCAAAGTATCAAACTGTCAACTCAGGAATAATTCCAATCAAGTTATCAACATGTAATATCCAAAGTATCATTTGCCAATATAAACCATAATAAATTTTGCCCCTTTGAAATTTCAGTCAATTCGACCTTTTTTGGCCCCACCCATCAGCCCCTAGGGGTCAGTTAGGGCTAATATGTGCATACCATCAAACTGCTATCCAATACTGATAATGCTAACCCAGATTGAATTACTTCCAATGGAAATTAAACAAATGTTGGTCGAAAATGTGATTTCCCTATATAAACTATAGTAAAGTTTACCCCCTCCCCAGGGGGAAACATGAGACCCCATAGTCATGAAATTCACAATTTTGGCAAAGCACCTTAAGACTCTTCCATCTATGAAGAGTATTTGATTCTACGATATCTGGGTTTTGAGAAGAAGATTTTTGAAATTTCAGTCAATTTGACCCCACCCACTTTGTCTCAGGTGACCTAAAAAGTGATTCAATACATTTTTCTTATTAACTTATGGCAGTTACATGATAATTGATATAGAACTCCTTCAAATATCATAAAGCAAAAAACCTATTGGTTCTATGTAAAAAAACTCTTTCTGTCCATGGCAAATTGATACCCTAAAGACATTACAGAGAACTTACTGAAGTGCAAACAGTAGGAAATCTGCTATGTCCTCCAGGTAAAAGTCTGGTAATGCTGAAAACTGCATCGGAATGTCATCGGGTAGTGGCAATGTCATTCTGAAAAAACAATGTAAACCACATGTTAAATAAATTGTACCCATTACGACATACCAAGAAAAACATTTTTGTCAGGTACCTTTTTAGATTGATATTCAGATTAGATGCCTTTTATACCAAGTTCATTCATCAAAATACTTGCAATTAACTTTTTATGATATGCTTTGGGTTTTCTCCCTTCCCTTATTTGTTGTAATTCAACCTTCCATTTGAAAGAGCCATTTTCACAGCATTATTGAGGCAAAACTTAAAACTGTTTAAAGCATCCATAATTGATAGGTCATAACTAAAATAAAAATATTTCATGAAAGTACATAATCGGAATATAGAAATTTGTACAGAATTTCTGGTAAGCTTGAAACAAGACTACAACAACTCATCATCGCTGTGATTAAATTGCAACATGTACCCCCTATTCTTCGGATCCATGACTTTAAGTATATAGTCTGCATGAGTACTATAGAACTCCAGGCAGTGCATTAGTAGACTCTCATCCAGCACGGCCGCGTCAGCACAAAGCTTGCTCTTTTGTAGTCTCTGTCAGGGTTAGAAAGCAAAAATGATCACGAATATTTATTTAACATACAAAAAAAACATGTAGACCAGTTCTTGTGATTACACTAAATATCAACAAAACAAACGTCCAGAATGGTAGTACAAGTCAACAAGGTCTGTGCTTTATAATCATATATATGCTCAGGGTTTGAATCCCTATAGCAGAGATTTGGGGTGTTTTTGGACAGGAAATTATTTAAACAAAGAGATTCAAGGTTTGATTCCAAAAAGCAGAGAGATGATTATGAAAAAGAATATTATATAATAAGATATCTCTTTCTTTATTAGAAATTAAACACTCATTCATTAGAAATACAAAACAGAATACCTATATATTGAAGTGATATTAAAGATAAAGCTAATACCTGTGCTTGGGACCTCCATTTCTTGAGGAGCTCTTTGTTTCTTGAGGCATTAGGGAGGATGGACCATTGTGGTTCTGCTGCCTCCATCTCCTCTACCATGCGGTTGAGATCTCGTATTGCACGAAGCCGCCTCTGATAGCGACGGGAGACAGGGATGATGGACAGATGGTGACAGTGGAGTGTCAGATAGAAACATTCTGTGGGAAATTTCGGCTCTTGGTATGGTGGGTTCTTTTGAGATTCTGAAACGAAAAACGAAATATAACTGTTATAGCACAATATGATGAAATACACTTTTAATAATTTTGAAATGCTTCTTTATAATTAAATCAAAATATAATATTTAATGCAATAAATCAAACTAAATACACTTCAAAATAAAAATTATAACCTTTACCAATAGTCACTGACTTTTTCTTGGGATATCCAGAATGTTTTTTAGGATTATCTATGGTAGAAATACTACAGTATCATCAATATCTGATCAAGTGGTTAAGTACCACTTAACAAAGTTTTACATTCACAAACATAAGTAATCATCCTGTTCATGAAAACTGCATATATTTCTAACACTTATTACTGTGCCATTACCCAGGATTAAACTATACCAATTAAAGTCACCAATTTTAATACCTAGCAAATATTCATGTTATAAGCATTAAGTTAGAATAAAGATTGATCTTTAAAACCAATTATATGACACTCCGTCCTTATGTCATAAATGAGTTCCATCTAGGACGTTAATCTGTGAAATCTTTCCGAGTTTGCTTAGTCAAACATGTAACTGGGCCAATTGAGGTCCTTCCATATTTCTGGATGAATCCTACGTTAACATTTTCACCACTGTAGACCATAATGGACCCCTCCATATCAATGCATGGTAGAGTCTACTAAAGTAACATAGGGATGAAAGGGTTAAACAAAAGCATATTTATGTAGACCCTACTGTATCAATGTTCAGGGTCTTCTGATATGTCATTTTCTCTGCTTGCCTGCACTGATGACATCCACAGACCTTTTAAAGAGTTCCAACGTACACAAGAATGAAAGAAGCCCCCTGATTGTTGGAATTTGCACCAGTATAGTAAAAGTGTATATTTAATTACTAGCTCACTGTCGACAAGATCATGTTTAATTACTAATGCATGGTCAACAAGATGATATATCTGTAAACGGCTCCATCTCTAGGAACAATAAAGGGCACCATCTCTTGAACTCTATACATCATATAACCTATAAACGAGGCTTTACTTACGAATCCTTTCCACCCATTTATCTGCATCATCTGGAAGTGATCGTAGTCTGGTCTCTGACTTTATACTAACTCTTGCGTTGGGATGAAATAAGTAGTATACATCAACCTGGAAATCAGAACAGGTTTCATTGCAGTCTTAAAATTATAAACAATATTAATAAAACATTTGATGATGGTCTACAGGGATTTTGACAGAAGGAAGATATAGTGTGTTGAGTGTAAAAAGTCTCCCCACTTGAAAGAGTAGGAGGGTTTCCTGCTGTATGATAGTTACAAATACATTGTACATGATAATTTTCAATAAAATACTTGCTTCTTTTGTCCAATAGCCTATGTAACGCATAACATAACCTGTTTATCTTTGTATTGCTAGTAATGATTTTAGTGGATGTACATTTGTTCTGTTTGTATCATATTGTATAGTTGTATTGTCTCAGTGGTGAGTCTTGTTTGCTTACATCATGTGGTGACTGTGTATAATTGTTCCATTGAGATTGGGAAGTATGGTAGGATAATTTCTATTTTGGTTTTTATAAACAAAGGTAAACAAATTATATCATTTAACTGTAACAATAAATACATAATTAAATTAAGATTTCTTCCTTCATTTATTTGAAATTGAATGGTAAATAATGTGTCCTGTTTCGTTTTTAATTATCTGTGAGAGTTATTTCCCCTTTACGTGTTACCTGAGAGAAAATGGTTTGATATAATTAATAGTTTGACAGTGTATTTTTTCTCTTTTCATTCATTTGCAGCAGAGTTCTAATATCCATGTCTGTTATAACACACAAAAATCATGACCATACTTACTTTGTCTAAATTTATTTTCTTTGCTAATTTCTGAAGAATATACAGTAGATTCAACATAAATCCATCTCCGGATACAAGTCGCTCATCAACCTAAAATGAAACAGAACAAACTAACAAGTTGCTTTGATAAAAAATCCTTTCTGGCAGTTTGCTGACTTCATGAAGAGAAATTTTACCTATTTTAGATTACAAACAAAAAAGTACTGAAATCCTTTCGAATTAACTTAGTACTCATAAGAATTATCATATGTTTCAACATTTTTTTATATTAAATGGTACAATGCTTCAATTGTAAAGCTATTAATACAGTACTGAATAGTATGTCTGACCCAATGTTCAGACTTAACACTATGCATGAGATAAAATTTCAAAGCCAGCCAGTGATCAATATATCCCCTTTTTAATATCAAATCCTTTTTAATTATATTCAATTTAATACTATTAACTTACGTACTGTTATTCAAATATGTGGGGTGAGCGAAGTTTATTGTGCCCACATCAAAGCCATCACCCATAATTTAGTTCCCCTGATCATTTTACTGACCAACTTTCACATAATCATTAACATATATATATTCATATCTGGAACAGACCTTATATGTATGCAATTTATTTGTAAGCAACAGCCATGCAATTTAAACTGTATGTGTAAAAAAAATCATCTTCGATTAATAAGTGGTTACTTCTCTGTAGAGAAACAAGTTGTTGCATTTGGCAAACTTACCTGTATTTGAGATTTTTTGAGATTCCGTGTTAAAGCTGTGGCCATGAAGGTGAGAGCAGCGTCCCTACTCTCTGAGTTGAGGAGGATGTTATGGAAGACCTTGAATAATTCACTCTGGAACAAAGAAAGGAATACAAGAATAAGTATTGAAAAATATATAGTGGAAAGTAATAAATGTACTTCCAATACTTTAATTACAGATATAAACCTTTAGACATTTAAAATGTTCAAGGGGTACTTGCTGCTAAAGTAAATTGGTTAAGACCACTCTAAAAGAAGGAAAAAATTCAAAGAGGATGTGGCATTTGTTTTGAAACAAACAAAAATACACATAAAGACAAAATCATGATTTCAAAGTATTTAAGTCAAGAAAGTAATTTCTGTGTTATGTTGACGTACCCGTACATACTCCATGCCATGTTGTAATGATTGGTGAGTTAGTTTAGTGTTTTCTGGTGTAAGCTGATGTCCTGAAAAGTACTTCTCTACAACCTTGGTCTGGAAAACAAGCAAGAAATCATTCTTTTATTTATAAATATGCATTATGACTTACTGTGACATGGACAAGTGATTCTTTTCTAAGAGTTCAACCTTAACAATAATCTTTGCTGAATATTTAAACTGAGTTGATTTATATTTATGACATATTTGAAAGGAACACTAGAATGCATGCATTGATAAGGCCTCTGCTACTTTATCATTTCCATACATTTGATATCATATTCACTGATTTGAAAGTTGCAGTCCTACTGTTTAATCACCAATTTCGAAAACAGGAAATCAGAATTCCCAAACCATCACACTCCAGCTCCCCATCCCAACCATTACACTCCAGCTCCCCATCCCAACCATTACACTCCAGCTCCCCACTCCTATCCCCACCCAAACCATTACACTCCAGCTCCCCACTCCGATCCCCACCCAAACAATTACACTCCAGCTCCCCACCCCTAACCCACCCAAACCATTACACTCTAGCTCCCCACTCCTAGCCCCCCCCAAACCATTACACTCCAGCCCCCCACTCCTAACCCACCCAAACCATTACATTCCAGCTCCCCACTCCTGGCCCCACCCAAACCATTACACTCTAGCTCCCCACTCCTAGCCCCACCCAAACCATTACAATCCAGCTCCCCACTCCTAGCCCCACCCAAACCATTCACTAAAGCTCTCCACTCCTAACCCCACCCAAACCATTACACTCCATCTCCCCACTCCTAGCCCCACCCAAACCATTACACACTAGCTCCCCACTCCTAGCCCCACCCAAACCATTATATTCCAGCTCCCCACTCCTAGCCCCACCCAAACCATTATATTCCAGCTCCCCACTCCTAGCCCCACCCAAACCATTCACTAAAGCTCTCCACTCCTAACCCCACCCAAACCATTACACTCCAGCTTCCCACTCCTAGCCCCCCCGAAAAGCATTACACTCCAGCTCCCCACTCCTATCCCCACCCAAACCATTACACTCCAGCTCCCCACTCCGATCCCCACCCAAACAATTACACTCCAGCTCCCCACTCCTCACCCACCCAAACAATTACACTCCAGCTCCCCCCTCCTAACCCACCCAAACCATTACATTCCAGCTCCCCACTCCTGGCCCCACCCAAACCATTACACTCTAGCTCCCCACTCCTAGCCCCCCCCAAACCATTACATTCCAGCTCCCCACCCAAACAATTACACTCCAGCTCCCCACTCCTCACCCACCCAAACAATTACACTCCAGCTCCCCCCTCCTAACCCACCCAAACCATTACATTCCAGCTCCCCACTCCTAACCCCACCCAAACCATTACATTCCAGCTGCCCACTCCTAGCCCCACCCAAACCATTACACTCCAGCTTCCCACTCCTAGCCCCACCGGAAAGCATTACACTCCAGCTCCCCACTCCTAACCCACCCAAACCATTACACTCTAGCTCCCCACTCCTAGCCCCCCCCAAACCATTACATTCCAGCTGCCCACTCCTAGCCCCACCCAAACCATTACACTCTAGCTCCCCACTCCTAGCCCCCCCCAAACCATTACATTCCAGCTGCCCACTCCTAGCCCCACCCAAACCATTACACTCTAGCTCCCCACTCCTAGCCCCCCCCAAACCATTACATTCCAGCTGCCCACTCCTAGCCCCACCCAAACCATTACACTCTAGCTCCCCACTCCTAGCCCCCCCCAAACCATTACACTCCAGCCCCCCACTCCTAACCCACCCAAACCATTACATTCCAGCTCCCCCCCCAAACCATTACACTCCAGCTCCCCACTCCTAGCCCCCCCCAAACCATTACATTCCAGCTCCCCACCCAAACCATTACACTCCAGCTCCCCCCTCCTAACCCCACCCAAACCATTACACTCCAGCTTCCCACTCCTAGCCCCACCGAAAAGCATTCCACTCCAGCTCCCCTCTCCTAACCCACCCAAACCATTACATTCCAGCTCCCCCCCCAAACCATTACACTCCAGCTCCCCACTCCTATCCCCACCCAAACCATTACACTCCAGCTCCCCACTCCTAACCCACCCAAACAATTACACTCCAGCTCCCCACTCCTAGCCCCACCCAAACCATTACACTCCAGCTTCCCACTCCTAGCCCCACCGAAAAGCATTACACTCCAGCTCCCCACTCCTAACCCACCCAAACCATTACATTCCAGCTCCCCACCCAAACCATTACACTCCAGCTCCCCACTCATAAGCCCCACCAAACCATTACACTCCAGCTCCACACTCCTAACCCACCCAAACCATATCACTCCAGCTCCCAACCCAAACCATTACACTCCAGCTTCCCACTCCTAGCCCCCCCGAAAAGCATTACACTCCAGCTCCACACTCCTAGCCCCACCCAAACCATTCCCTCAAGCTCTCCACTCCTAGCCCACCAAACCATTCACTCAAGCTCTCCACTCCTAGCCCACCAAACCATTCACTCAAGCTCTCCCCTCCTAACCCCACCCAAACCATTCACTCAATCTCCCCACTCCTAAGCCCCTCCTAAACAATTACACTCCAGCTCTCCACTCCTAAGCCCCCCCCAAACAATTCCACTCCAGCTCCCAACTCCTATCCCCACCCAAATCATTCGCTCAAGCCCCCCACTCCTAAGCCCCACACAAACCATTACACTCCAGCTCCCCTCTCCTATCCCCACCCAAACCATTCGCTCAAGCTCCCCGCTCCTAAGCCCCACCTAAACCATTACCCTCCAGCTCTCCACTCCTAAGCCCCACCCAAACCCCACCCAACCCCCATCCAAACCATTACACCCCCGCTCCCCCACCAAACCATTACACCCCAGCTCCCCACTCCTAGCCCCCCCCAAACCATTACTCTCCAGCTCCCCACTCCTAGCCCCCCCCAAACCATTACTCTCCAGCTCCCCACTCCTAACCCCCCCCAAACCATTACACTCCAGCTTCCCACTCCTATCCCCACTCAAACAATTCACTCAAGCTCCCCACTCCTAGCCCCACCGAAAAGCATTACCCTCCAGCTCCCCCCTCCTAGCCCCACCCAAACCATTCAATCAAGCTCTCCACTCCTAACCCCACCTCTAGCTCCCCACTCCTAGCCCCCCCCAAACCATTACACTCCAGCCCCCCGACCAAACCATTACACCCCAGCTCCCCGCTCATAACACCAACCAAACCATTACACTCCAGCTATCCACCCAAACCATTACACTCCAGCTGCCCACTCCTAGCCCCACCCAAACCATTCCCTCAAGCTCTCCACTCCTAACCCCACCCAAACCATGACACTCCAGCTTCCCACTCCTATCCCCACTCAAACAATTCACTCAAGCTCCCCACTCCTAGCCCCACCCAAACAATTACACTCCAGCTCCCCACGCCTATCCCCACCCAAACCATTACACTCCAGCTGCCCACTCCTAGCCCCCCCCAAACCATTACACTCTAGCCCCCCCCCCCTAGCCCCACCCAACCCATTACCCTCCAGCTTCCCACTCCTAGCCCCCCCGAAAAGCATTACCCTCCAGCTCCCCCCTCCTAACCCACCCAAACCATTAAACTCCAGCTTCCCACTCCTATCCCCACTCAAACAATTCACTCAAGCTCCCCACTCCTCAGCCCCACCTAAACCATTACACTCCAGCTCTCCCATCCTAAGCCCCACCCAAACAATTACACTCCAGCTCCCCACGCCTATCCCCACCCAAACCATTACCCTCCCGCTCCCCACCCAAACCATTACACTCCAGCTGCCCACTCCTAGCCCCCCCCAAACCATTACTCTCCAGCTCCCCACTCCTAGCCCCCCCCAAACCATTACACTCCAGCTCTCCCATCCTAAGCCCCACCCAAACAATTACACTCCAGCTCCACACTCCTAACCCACCCAAACCATATCACTCCAGCTCCCAACCCAAACCATTACACTCCAGCTTCCCTCTCCTATCCCCCCACAAACCATTCACTCAAGCTCCCCACTCATAAGCCCCACCAAACCATTACACCCCAGCTCCCCCCTCCTAACACCAACCAAACCATTACACTCCAGCTATCCACCCAAACCATTACACTCCAGCTTCCCACTCCTAGCCCCCCCGAAAAGCATTACACTCCAGCTCCCCCCTCCTAACCCACCCAAACCATTCACTCAAGCTGTCCACTCCTAACCCCACCCAAACCATTACCCTCCAGCTCCACACTCCTAACCCCACACAAACCATTACATTCCAGCTCCCCACTCCCAGCCCCACCCAAACCATTACACTCTAGCCCCCCCCCCCTAGCCCCACCCAACCCATTACACTCCAGCTCCCCCCTCCTACCCCCACCCAAACCATTACCCTCCCGCTCCCCACCCAAACCATTACACTCCACCTCCCCACTCCTAGCCCCACCCAACCCATTACACTCCAGCTCCCCCCTCCTACCCCCCCCAAACCATTACATTCCAGCCCCCCACCCAAACCATTACACTCCAGTTCCCCACTCATAAGCCCCACCAAACCATTACACTCCAGCACCCCGCTCATAAGCCTCACCAAAAACAATTACACTCCAGCTCCCCACTACTAACCCACCCAAACCATTACCCTCCAGCTCCACACTCCTAACCCACCCAAACCATTCCATTCCAGCTCCCCACCCAAACCACTACACTCCAGCTCCCCACTCCTATCCCCACCCAAAAAATTACACTCCAGATCCCCACTCCTATCCCCACCCAACCCATTACACTCCAGCTCCCCACCCAAACCATTCCACTCCAGCTCCCCACCCCTAGCCCCACCTAAACCATTACATTCCAGCTCCCCACTCCTAACCCCACCCAAACCATTACCCTCCAGCTCCACACTCCTAACCCACCCAAACCATTAAACTCCAGCTTCCCACTCCTATCCCCACTCAAACAATTCACTCAAGCTCCCCACTCCTCAGCCCCACCTAAACCATTACACTCCAGCTCTCCACTCCTAAGCCCCCCCCAAACAATTACACTCCAGCTCCCCACTCCTAGCCCCCCCCAAACCATTACTCTCCAGCTCCCCACTCCTAACCCCCCCAAACCATTCACTCAAGCTCTCCCCTCCTAACCCCACCCAAACCATTACAATCCAGCTTCCCACTCCTATCCCCACTCAAACAATTCACTCAAGCTCCCCACTCCTCAGCCCCACCTAAACCATTACACTCCAGCTCTCCCATCCTAAGCCCCACCCAAACAATTACACTCCAGCTCCCAACTCCGAGCCCTACCAAAACAATTACACTCCAGCTCCCCACGCCTATCCCCACCCAAACCATTACACTCCATCTCCCCACTCCTAGCCCCACCCAAGCCATTACACTCCAGCTTCCCACTCCTAACCCCACCCAAACCATGACACTCCAGCTTCCCACTCCTATCCCCACTCAAACAATTCACTCAAGCTCCCCACTCCTCAGCCCCACCTAAACCATTACACTCCAGCTCTCCACTCCTAAGCCCCACCCAAACAATTACACTCCAGCTCCCAACTCCGAGCCCTACCAAAACAATTACACTCCAGCTCCCCCCTCCTATCCCCACCCAAACCATTCGCTCAAGCTCCCCGCTCCTAAGCCCCACCTAAACCATTACCCTCCAGCTCTCCACTCCTAAGCCCCCCCCAAACAATTCCACTCCAGCTCCCAACTCCTAGCCCCACCAAAACAATTACACTCCAGCTCCCCCCTCCTATCCCCACCCAAACCATTCACTCAAGCTGTCCACTCCTAACCCCACCCAAACCATTACACTCCAGCTTCCCACTCCTATCCCCACCCAAACCATTCACTCAAGCTCCCCACTCCTAAGCCCCACCTAAACCATTACACTCCAGCTCTCCACTCCTAAGCCCCACCCAAACAATTACACTCCAGCTCCCCACTCCTAAGCCCCACCAAAACAACCAACCTCATTATATCAAGATAACTTCTAACTGGGTAATCTCAAAGCATAAAACAAATTTGATTTAAAGACTTTTGGTACGAAAAATAAAACATTTAAGTATGAATTATTCTTTGATACCAATCCAGGTCAAAAGTTTGAAATACAAATGAATGTACTTTCGTGTAAACAAAAGATTTTTTTAACAAGGATCAAGTTTTTTCCAATGATACAATATTTTTGAACTCTATGTAAAGAAATAAATTAATATATTTAGAACAGAGTTTGACAAAATTAAAAATTGCTACAGAAAGTTATACTCAACTCACATTATCCTCTGCAAACACCGACAGACCTAAAAATGGTCCCAACAGGGAGAGTTTCTCCAACTCCATGCCAGAGGCTTGTGATAGTGCCTCAGGAATCCAATTGGGCTGTTGGACAATCTGTCAAACACATAACAATGATTATATTCTCTCTCTACTTAAACGTTTATCATTCGATCAAATACAAGAGGATTAGAGGGCCTGTATTACTCATCTGTATATTTAAGCAATCATGGCTAAAGATTTTCAATGAAAGTACAGTCGAACCTCGTTATCTCGAACTCGTATAACTCGAAGACCCCGATTAACTTGAAGTATTTCATCGGTCCCGGCCAAAACTCTTCTTAATCTTAGTAATAAAAACTCTGATAATTCGAACTCTGAAAACTCGAAAAACTTGGATATCCCGAAGTGAAACATTGGTCCCAACAACGTAAATCCTACACAAAAATATCTCCTACCTCGAAGTTTCTTAAGATTCACAAGTCTATCATGTATTCTTTAATTATTTGATACATATTGGACGCAGTGCTACGGTAAACATCGTTCTAAATGAGTAGCTTACGCTCGGTCATAATTACTTCTATTTAACTTATGGCATTAAAATGTGCTTGACTGTAAAAACACTTTGTTCAAATAAAGAAACAAACTTCATCAATGTTGATTAACAACAATTAGTACTCACTGCGAGCCCATGAACAATTTGAATGGCACTTTATTGGCACTAATTGAGAGATAATAGGAACAATACGATAATTATTGTTGAGTACGTCGTGTTGAGGAGATGTCAGGTGTCATTGGAGTCTATCAATGTGGATATGTTTCTTGATTAACTCATACCCATTTGTGGAATGTTGAAATCAACTGAGCAATCCAACGTGTACGCTCCAGTACAGTGATTTGTGTAAAGACTTGCGCACTTTCATTTCCGCATTGATATTTCTATCGTCGGAGACAGCATGTGTGTTTATTATAATATTAATTAATTAATTAATATGATTATGAATAAGTTGTTATTTTTTATTTTATATAGTTATCTTTTTGTCATTTATCCGACTGTTTAAATACGTTGATTGTCAGAGAAATCAATGACATATATAGCCTCATGTTGGACCAAACACTTAACCAAGCTGTATGCCAAACATAGGAACTCGCTTAACTCGAATACTCGGATAACTCGAAGTTTCCCAACGATCCCGTCGACTTCGAGATAACGAGGTTCGACTGTAGTATAATGGCAGTTAAGGTCTTACTAGGTATAGGGCCATCCCCTGGGCCAATCCTGCTAGCACATGTGTATCCAAATCTTAATGCCCAGCTATTGGATATATTACAATACAGTGGGGATCTCAAAGGTTTCCATGGTATGATTCAGAGATTAAGTCCCTTGGGGTGTGGCCAGACCCAAGAGCCAATAATATTGTATATAACATGGTTATGGGGTTAGGATCTTGACTGCTTTAAAGTTGTGACAAAGCAACTTAGCCTCCATGTGTGGGGTGATACACAGGATCATTTTGGTAGAATATGTGTATTTGTCTCATGATACTCAGTAACTGTATATCTAGGTATATGGTTATAGGTAGGGGATCTTAATTATTTCAAAGATAAAAGCACCTTTTGGCTTTGCCCCTCAACTCCCTTGGATGTTCAGCCCTTCAACTGGTAAAATTTCAAGTACCACAAACTGATATGCATCCATCCAAATAGGATTGATATTCATTCGTTAGTTCCAGCTAAGAAAACAATTAAAGCAATATGGCCTAAGAGCCTTTCTGGCCCTGTCCATTAGTCCTTGCATTTGACAATTTGTTCAATTTTGATTGATCAAGTTAGGGGAGGAAATCGCTTAAAGCAATATCACCAAATTACCCCTTTTGGCCCTGTCCCTCAGCCCCCTGGGGATTTTTTTTACTACCAGATTGTGGGCTAAAAAGAAAGCTATGGTGTAAATGCAAAATCAAAGTGATTTACAATAGATACATGAATATTCATGCAGATATAAAAAAAAAAGTATGGCTGCATAGGTCAGAAAAAATGCCACTCGGATAACTGTGTGTGCTTATCCAAACCGATAAAAATAATTGATAAAAATTACTTAATTCATTTAATACTAAAATAACTCAAAACTTATGTCCTGTGAATACAGTTGCAAAACTTGCAAATTCACAAAATCATTATGAATTGGTTACATATCGCTAGCCTCCCAACAGGGAAATATTTGTAGTCTCACTTCACTCTTATGTGTTGTCAACGCTATGCGCAGGTATTTCTACACATCACTTCCGGTTGGAACACTGACGATAGCTGTTGGTGAATGATGAGTTACATTGTGCAACAGAATATCAGTTGAAAACTTTTTTTTACATGCACTCAATAGTAAAGCAAGCATACTGATCACAAGTGTTTTTCAGGAGCCACCTTTCTGCCTGGGAAGTCAATAAATACTAATCTACATTTTGGGACGGTTTTCGGGTAAGTGGATTTGCTAACAGGATTGTACTTGTAACCAAACTGCAACCTGGAACTCGGTTACCCGTTCCAGCCCTGATAAAAAGTGCTGCAGTTCTTTTGATTCAATTTGACATGGATACACTGTTAACAAGGAAACTATGACTATAAGTAAGTTTTAACTGAACATGAATGCAGTTGATGTCTTTGAAATGCTTAATTACAATGTTATTCTATACATATACATTACCAGTGAACAAATTGGCCTGGAATTTCCACTCTTGACTTCACATAACTCTGAGAGCACTGTGAGGGGATCTTTGTAATCTTCATTATCTAGAGATAGCGTATGTATCAACCGTATCAAGCTCTGTATCACAGGCACAAATACCTACAAAACAGCAAACACATCAATCCTAAAACAATGCAGCAAAGTTACTAAATCTCCGGGATGAAACCTGTAAGTGAAAACACAGAAATTTTCAAAAAAAAAATATATCTACTATATCACTTCATATTCATTATCATTCTCAAAATCGCATTAGAAATACACCATCAGTGTTTGAAATTGTGAATTAAAAGTTGTCTGAACTATTGTTTCAGTTGTCTTACTGACACACTGGATTGACTTAGATATTCTTGGTGTGATAAAATATCTGGGTCACCATTTTAACACCGGATTTACATACCATACTGAATGTGTTTTTGTCATGGTAAGTTGTCTGAATCAGCTCCGACAGGAATCCTCGTGGCAGGTTGTGTGAAAGAAGGTAGGGTAGTAGTATGGACATTCCACCTGTAGATCTACACATCAAAATATCCAAGTTTCACACATTATTCAATAAATTGGAGACAAAAACTATTTGGTAAGTCACAAGTAAAAACAGACCTGCTACAATAATTTTGTATAATTATTAAATTGAGTAAATTAGTAAATGCTGAAATCGTTACTGGCCCTGACATAAAATCTACTTGCCCTGGGCATCAGCAGATTTGTATACCCCTGAGCTAGTGATATTCTCTTGTACAATTTTCTGTTTCATCAAGCTTTGGATTTTTTCGTTCAGTTTTTATATAGAAATTTACAATCTTTTAATTATGATATGACAATTGAATTACGATATCAGCTTTAATTTCCAACCTGGGTTGAGTGAGTGCTCCCTGAAGTACCAGGACCGTATGACATACACACTGGCTCCTTGTGGTGGATAACATTACACTCATTGGTGGGATACTGGCTTTCTGTAACACCATCAATAACACACATACAATTAATAACACTCTTATAATCAATAACACACATACAATCAATAACACACATACAATCAATAACACTCTTACAATCAATAACACACATACAATCAAAAACACTCTTACAATCAATAGCACACATGTATACAATCAATTACACACATACAATCAATAACACACATACAATTAATAACACACATACAATTAATAACACTCTTACAATCAATAACACTCATACAATCAATAACACACATACAATCAATAACACCCATACAATCAATAACACACATACAATCAATAACATACATACAATCAATAACACACATACAATCAATAACACCCATACAATCAATAACACACATACAATCAATAACACACTTACAATCAATAACACACAAACAATCAATAACACATTTACAATCAATAACACACAAACAATCAATAACATACAATCAATAACATTCTTACAATCAATAACACACAAACAATCAATAACACACTTACAATCAATAACACATATACAATCAATAACACAAATACAATCAATAACACACATACAATCAATAACACACTTACAATCAATAACACACATACAATAAATAACACACATACAATCAATAACACACATACAATCAATAACACTCTTACAATCAATAGCACACATGTATACAATCAATTACACACATACAATCAATAACACACATTCAATTAATAACACATATACAATTAATAACACACATACAATTAATAACACTCTTACAATCAATAACTCACATACAATCAATAACACACATACAATCAATAACAAACCTACAATCAATACACAAATACAATCAATAACACACATACAATCAATAACACACTTACAATCAATAACACACAAACAATCAATAACACATTTACAATTAATAACACACAAACAATCAATAACATACAATCAATAACACTCTTACAATCAATAACACACAAACAATCAATAACACACATACAATAAATAACACACATACAATCAATAACACACATACAATAAATAACACTCTTACAATTAATAGCACACATGTATACAATCAATTACACACACACAATCAATAACACAAATACAATTAATAACACACATACAATTAATATCACTCTTACAATCAATAACACACATACAATCAATAACACACATACAATCAATAACAAACCTACAATCAATACACAAATACAATCAATAACACACATACAATCAATAACACACTTACAATCAATAACACAAATACAATCAATAACACACATACAATTAAAAACACACTTACAATCAATAACACACATACAATCAATAACACACGTTCAATCAATAACACACATACAATCAATAACACACTTACAATCAATTATACACTTAAAATCAATAACACACTTACAATCAATAACACACTTACAATCAATAACACACATACAATCAATAACGCACTTACAATCAATAACACACATACAATCAATAATACACATACAATCAATAACACAAATACAATCAATAACTCACATATAATCAATAACACACATACAATCAATAACACACAATCAATAACACACATACAATCAATAACACACATTCAATCAATAACACACATACAATCAATAACACTCATACAATCAATTTCACACATACGATCAATAACACACATACAATCAATAACACACTTACAATCAATAACACACATACAATCAATAACACACATACAATCAATAACACACATACAATCAATAACACACATACAATCAATAACACACATACAATCAATAACACACATACAATCAATAACACACATACAATCAATAACACACATACAATCAATAACACACATACAATCAATAACACACATACAATCAATAACACACATACAATCAATAACACACATACAATCAATAACACACATACAATCAATAACACACATACAATCAATAACACACATACAATCAATAACACACATACAATCAATAACACACATACAATCAATAACACACATACAATCAATAACACACATACAATCAATAACACACATACAATCAATAACACACATACAATCAATAACACACATACAATCAATAACACACATACAATCAATAACACACATACAATCAATAACACACATACAATCAATAACACACATACAATCAATAACACACATACAATCAATAACACACATACAATCAATAACACACATACAATCAATAACACACATACAATCAATAACACACATACAATCAATAACACACATACAATCAATAACACACATACAATCAATAACACACATACAATCAATAACACACATACAATCAATAACACACATACAATCAATAACACACATACAATCAATAACACACATACAATCAATAACACACATACAATCAATAACACACATACAATCAATAACACACATACAATCAATAACACACATACAATCAATAACACACATACAATCAATAACACACATACAATCAATAACACACATACAATCAATAACACACATACAATCAATAACACACATACAATCAATAACACACATACAATCAATAACACACATACAATCAATAACACACATACAATCAATAACACACATACAATCAATAACACACATACAATCAATAACACACATACAATCAATAACACACATACAATCAATAACACACATACAATCAATAACACACATACAATCAATAACACACATACAATCAATAACACACATACAATCAATAACACACATACAATCAATAACACACATACAATCAATAACACACATACAATCAATAACACACATACAATCAATAACACACATACAATCAATAACACACATACAATCAATAACACACATACAATCAATAACACACATACAATCAATAACACACATACAATCAATAACACACATACAATCAATAACACACATACAATCAATAACACACATACAATCAATAACACACATACAATCAATAACACACATACAATCAATAACACACATACAATCAATAACACACATACAATCAATAACACACATACAATCAATAACACACATACAATCAATAACACACATACAATCAATAACACACATACAATCAATAACACACATACAATCAATAACACACATACAATCAATAACACACATACAATCAATAACACACATACAATCAATAACACACATACAATCAATAACACACATACAATCAATAACACACATACAATCAATAACACACATACAATCAATAACACACATACAATCAATAACACACTTACAATCAATAACACACAAACAATCAATAACACAAATACAATCAATAACACAAATACAATCAATAACACACATACAATCAATAACACACATACAATCAATAACACACATACAATTAATAACACACATACAATCAATAACACACAATCAATAACACACTTACAATCAATAACACACATACAATCAATAGCACTCAATCACTATCCTTAACATTTCTCTAAACACTTTAACAATTTTAACCAAGACTTGAGATGTGCACCACCTTCATTGCTGATTTTCAGATTACAATAAGGGAAGCCTGAATTTATTTTCTATCTTTTTTTAATGATATTGCAAAAATCATGCAAAATATCATGTTGGCCTTGAAGATGACTTACAATTAGATGTCCTATCTACTCACCTTAACAAATCACATTTGCAAATATAAACAAGAGTACTGCGGGGCGGAACAATATACGCCCGTCGAATGCCATATAGTGTTATATACTTTCTTACATTGAAATAAGATCTGCATCATTCAAAGAGTGGTTAGCTGACATGCTATAAAAATGTAGGAGAAATCTCCAGATAAAAAAATCATCTTCTCACAAACATGCAGACCCACACCTGATCATGTGTGGACATCTCACAAACATGCAGACCCATACCTGATCATGTGTGGACATCTTCTCACAAACATGCAGACCCACACTCTCTCATGTGTAGTTTTCGTGTGACATTAACACTAGCTAGCTTTACTCACTATTGGGGCTGTCCTCTCCTCTATACCAGCCCGCTCATAGCAGTCAAGGAGATAGTTTATCATGTCCACCTCCTTAATCTTCTCGGACGGGTACTTGGGGGAGAATTCTCGTTTAGGGAGTGGAGCTGCCCCCAACTTCAGTGCTCTGCAAAACATTTTATCACAGAAATCAAAATTTTATTTGCAGTTTTTCTTGTATTACATAAATCGAAAATAAACCATGCATAAGTTGTAAGCTTGACTTCCAATGAGGTTCCACTGTATATTGCGTAAATTTGGTATTTTTGGAAAGAGACACAGGGACCTTAATCAATAATCAATAAGCTGTTGTTGTTTATCATATAATTTGTAACTTCATGCATTTTACCTGTGACCTAGAAAATTGGACAAGGCTTATATTTGAATACTTTTCATAGCAATTTATCCCAAAAATCTTCAACTTAAATGATATCATTCTAGAAGTAATGGATCTTAAGAAATATAAACACATTTAAAACATTGACATTAAAACCAAATCATCATTTGTTTGAACCAGTTTGAGGTGGGTTTTTTCTATATAGCTACATGAAATAAATATTCTAGGCATTCTGGTTCTTTGGAAGATTTTGATTAAATTAATAAATTTTATACAAATATGACACAGATGACATTGAAAGCAGTTTAAGGTCACTCAAGTGAGCTTTAATCTAAAAACTGTCTATTTAAAACGATATCTTCTATAATTGAAATCATGTTCAGTTCAGACAGGTTTCACAGAAGTAACCAGTAAATCTTTATTGAAGTGCATGTAAGACAGAAAAGCTTACCCTTTTGGACTAGAGCCATGTTTGCGCGGTGACACAGAGGATTCTATAGGTGGGCGGAGTTTAAGTACTGGATTGTCTTTGCTATCTGTTATCTTCAATAGGACCTCCATTACAACATTGTTGACAAGATCTTTGTAATCTATGTCATCTACAAAACAAATTTTTTTAAATTTAAAATTATTACATTATCAATTGTTAATTTTTCTCATTAGCATTATCAAATTTTACTTGTTAAAAATATTCTGATATAATCACTATTGTTGTAAAGTAAACAAGATTCAAAGTTTAAGAATTCTGAATTATCCAAACAATTATTCATGAAGGTTTCGACAGACAACTGAAGAGAAACCAAAAATGGATGTGATTTTCTTGATTTGACCTTGGGAAATGCTGAAAGTTTGGGGAATTTTTCATGATCTTGGATAAACCTAACTACCAAAATCTTTCACACAACAGGCTATGTTACATGCAGGGACAAAACATTTAAATTGTTTTAAAGAGTTTTACCCACCATTTTCCTCCACACAACAACTAATGTCAGGGATGAACACAGTTTCTGAGTTTGCTTCCTTCCAGGAAACTAAGAAGGTCCGACTGATAGTTGATAGCATCTGTTCCCTTGTAGCCTCTGATCCAATACTGGTGTCCTATTAAAACAGGAAGTATGCTATTTCTCATACTGTTTGGTAACACATGTAACATGTGATAAAATTGTATAAAAGTGAATAGATTTTAATACATGTAATAAACATAATTAAAGCGTTATACTTGGATATACCTCTGTTTCGATAACAGGTCAATAAGGAACTATTTTCCTAGTTCATAAAGTTTTATTTTTAACTGAAATTATTTGAGAAAACTGAACTGGTAACCAATGTTTTTTCAGATTTGACACTTTAAAAGCAAATGATTTCAATTTCAACTGTGTGTATCATTCCAATAAATTATGATACTGAGCTGTGTACACTTAATTGCTTATCAACATCACAATACAAATTAATTAAAGATGACTGACCAGCAAAATCTACAGATTTTCTTTGGCAGTATAACAAAGATCTGTAAGACATTATAGAATCATTTCAGAGATACATATTGTTTTAACATTTTGTGTTAACATTGTGTAGTATTACCCTCTTCCTTTTCACATCATATTTCATCTCTGTATCATCCACTTCCATGGGGTTTTCTATGCCAGAATCAACATCCATTTGTGACTGGAAACTGCTGGAAACATACAGAACATTTAGCTTTTCTTGTGGGAAATTGACAATGCAGTAAAATGGGAACAGTTGTTAAACTTCTTTTGTTCATACTGAAATCTTTCACAGAAATTCTGCAATATTCAAATCAGAAGTAGAAATATTGAACAGGCTCTTCTTTTTTTAAGAATTTGTTGAGAGACCACTTCTTTGATTAACTTTTCTCTGATACCTGATACTCCCCAGTGAACTATACTGATGTTCCACCATGTACTTTATACTCATTATTTCAAATATTTGTGTCAGTCTTTTATCTTATAGTAATAATACTGTAAGTTCAGACATATTTATTTTAAACTGGACAAATGTGTATCCTCCTTATTACAGCAACTGTATATGATTGCTTCAATTTCTCTTTAACATCCCTACAGAGAAACTGTTTCACATTTCTTACAGTCAAAATCTGGAACAACCTCTCAGGAGACATTGTATCTCATCCAAATATAAATACTTTTAAGAACAGAAAAGATAAACTTTGGCAGAATGAAGGACTTTATTATAATTATAGGGCAAATTTTAATAACAGTGAACTTTAACTTTATATTATAAAATTGTTTAATTTTTGAGTCCAGTGTAGAGGAGCTCTATCGGCTCCTGTATTGGAAACTAACTTTAACTTCAACTTTAACTAATAATATAACCTTATATACGGTTAATAAAGAAGCAAACTCGTAAATCTATAAGTGTCCCCACATAAAAGAGATCCTTGATATTACAGGGATCAATGAAGCCACAGACCCAGAGAATCAATTTTGACTGTGGGCCATTTTTTTTATTTTAACGAGCAAGCTCTCAAGGCCAGTGTCTTTTCTTTTTGTATCTCATGAACATCAAAGTTATGATATCATACTTGCCAACACTCCCTATTTTGGACCATAAAATTGAGAGAAAAAAATCAACCAGTGAATTTGCTTAACTTATTCTTTTTTCTGAGATTATATATGAATTCATCTGAAAGAACAGCTCAAAAGATGCTTTTCAAAAGTGTCATTTTCCCCCTACGTTGTACATATTTACATTTTATTTATGAGTTTTATTCTGAGCGTAATATCCCCCCATGGAAAGTTCTGTTGGCAAGTATGTGATATGATACAACATTAAGAAAACTTCAGCCACTTATACAATGAATCAGAAAACAAGAAATCATAGTAGATAAAGTTCAACTAGCCCAACTGATCATCTCATCATTCACCCCTAGGTGACCTATACGATGGGGAGGTAGGATACAGCGAGGCTAATTCTTAATCCCCAAAACTCGAGATGCAGAATAAAATATAAAGAATTGCAATATAAAGTAGTATGACAGAGAATACTTACTTTTTCTCCGAACATTCAGAATCAATATCCATGCTCCTTTGTGAATCTGGAGTTACTGGATCAACACTCAAGCTGCCTGTAACAACAAAGTGATATTTATCCTTTTTCTTCCAATTCATTTAGGATTTCTTAGATGGTTGTGAAATAGAAACCAAAAAAAGAGGCACATGGTCCTTAACAGTCATCAGAGTTAAAATACAATTGTTACTTGTTATTGTAATGTGATTGAATAAAAGTACATATATAACCAAAAACATCTTTCTGACTGTGGTTTGGTTTTTACAAAATGATGTTGGGGAGTGATAAAGATTTAACATTTATGTATAGAGTATGAAAAGAATTCCAGCTATGATTGAATTATTTTCCACTGAAAATCAACAAAATATACCCAAAAAAGTTATTTCCTTATATAAACCATAGAAGGTCCGTTTTTTTAGTATAAATTCTGACAAAAAGTTTCAGAGGAGAAGTAAAACAAAAAAGTAAGTTAGATTCAGGTTATGCACTAAGTAGTAATAAGTATCTGACCCCATGGGGTGGTCAGTCCCTTCTTGAGTATATAATTATAAATTCTGATCCTCATTATCTAAGCATGATCTACGACACTTTAGTAAAAGTCCACCTGTAATCTATACAAAAGAAGTCTTTTGAAGGTTTTGTACACTTTGGCCCCTTATGGCCCCAGCCCTCCTGGGAGAGGGGCAGCCACATCTCTAGTACAGATTCTGATCCGCACTTCAGACTGATAATTACCACCAAGTTTCATCAAAATCTGAATTTTAGTGAAAATGTACCTGTAAGTTTCACCAAAGAAGTCTTTTTTTAGGTCAACTGATCATGAGCAACTTAGGTGACTTAAAAAACTTGTTATAGTATATACGTATTACAAGATTTATTCTCACTCAACAAGCAACATAATTATAAATGCACCACATGCATAGTAAATTCTGGCAGACTACAGAAAGTACCTCTTGACAGTACTGTACATGTATCATCATAAATTGTTTGGTTTAGTAGCTTCATGATCTGTCCTCAAATTAAATAAAAGACTGTTAATTATAAGAAGCTGTTGAATTCACAAATCAAATGAATAAGTCCCTAAAAGATTTTACTTTAATATGTAATTGCTCATCTGTTCAGCATTTGTTAACTTTACTCCTTCTTAGTAACTATATTGACTCCCAACCAACACAAAATAGACACTATTTTTTGGAATTCATAGTTATTTCCAAATAATTCCATGGGTTTCATATAAAAACCTCTGGTTAAGTTTTTGCTTGTTATATTTACTGTAAACACTTCTTTGTTTGTCTTTATGATGGACATTGAGGAGTAAAACTTACTCGGTGGAGTTCTAGTTGGCTGAGTTTCCATGGATACCACTTGACTACCACCACTGGCTCCAGGGCTCTGGCCTTGAGGTTGCCCTTGACTCTGAGACCGTGAAGCATCTTGTGGTGATGGGTTAGGCTGACTACCTAGTCTAGCCAACCTTCTTCTTCTGATCTACAAACAATTAATTTAACCAATTTACTTTCATGTTCATGATCATCACTGTATAATCGATGCAGCATGTATGCAAATCAAAACAAATTTGTGATGCATACTATGGAACATTTACTCTTTCAATGGTGTGTTTTATAGTGCCACACCACTTGAACACCACAGCACAGAGACAGCAAAATACCCAACCCAACAGAGTTTAATGCCTCCAAAAGGAACCTGTACAGGGATGTTTGGTTTACTAGTCCAACATATGCTCTACCTAATGACCGTTGAAGAAACATTTTCCCTATGTAAGAGTCAGAAGGAAATGGCTGTTATCTCATAATTTTATTCTCCATTCCAGAACATTGGAGTGAGAATTAAAGTAACACCCAACCCAGAACACACTCAATCCTCCGCATTAAAGCCATTTTGGTCTCTGTGGAGTATAACATATATAGATAGAATTCCTAGTCTCTGAAGTAAGCAATAAGGTCCCAGTACTTTGCTCCATCCAGGTTATAAAACCTTGTACTGACAGTCTGTCATGAACCAATGATTGTTTGTTTGATTTTGTTTAACGTCCTATTAACAGCTAAGGTCATTTAAGGACGGCCTCCCCTGTGTGCAAGATGCATGCGTGTAGTATATGTGTGTGTATTTTGGGAGGCTGCGATATGTTTGTGTTTGTCTCCTTGTGATAGCGCGGAACTGATGCCGACTTTATAGTGCTATCTCACTGAAACATACTGCCGAAGACACCCAGCAGGACGCCCCACCCGGTCACATTATACTGACAACGGGCGAACCAGTCGTCCCACTCCTAATTTGCTGAGCGTTAAGCAGGAGTAGAAACTACCATTTTTAAAGACTTTGGTATGTCTCGGCCAGGGGACAGAACCCAAAGCCTTCCTCACAGGGGCGAACGCTCAACAAATGGCCAAAAGTGAGGCATTGTCAAGGGAGACATTAGGAAGAAGAAAGTTATTTAGAAAGGAGAGAAGAGATAAGGTCCCAAATTTAGTCGCCTCTTACGATCATGCAATTGGGGGCAGCAGGTACAATTCTTACGCCCTACCTGCAGGGTCCCAATGATTCATTCGCTATCTTTATATACCAAGCTATTACGTTAGCACTGGTTTTTCTTCATTTTTTTTATCAGACTTTTCTTGGCGATTTTAAATATCAAACACAACAAAATTGTGCTTTTTATTATCACTTAACGTTATTACATTTTGATATATATGCCAGAGAATAACATATATTATTTTTTATTTATTTTTCTAGAATTCTGCAGAACTATTTGATAGTGATGCTTGTGCTACACCAGAAGATACTGCTTCACTTACAGTAGCCTTTATCTGTTGTTTCGGAAAATATATGAGTTGTCAAGTCTAAAATTCCTGTAATCTGACACATCAAAGCATGTATGTAAACAAACAAAGCAGTCCGAAATGGATCAAGGCAAATTCGTGTCCAGCTAAAAATACTCACTTCGTCCGGTGTAAGTTCACTCATGGTGTCTGTAAGCTGAAATATATACCTACAAGCTAGTGTTTGTGCGATCGATGAATGTTTTTAGACATTTGTTTCGTCTTTAGAATCAAAGCATATAATTTTCTTTCATTCAAGAACTAAGAACTGCTTCTGATGTCTCTCGCCTGCCATCATTCGTGACGTCATATCAATACTTGACCCGGAAGTAGAAAACAACGTAGTCTTGGGGAAATTAGATTCAGTTAAATGTTTGCCGGAGAAGTGTAACCTGTTGTGCTTTATTCAAGCTTTGTCATAATCAAGATCATCTGCAAGGTGTGTGTTGGCAAAATATCTTGCGGATCTTTTGCAACCTGCATTTGAAAAAAAATAACGTAAGTATACAGTGTGCATTAATACAAGAGACCTGATCAAATGTATTATTGGAAGCCTGCCTTTAAAAGAATCCCTCTTAGAAGATCGTTCTATAAAGGGTTCACTGACGTGCAGTGACACTGACAGCGAAGTGATATGTAAAACTTCATTCACAGTTAGATACGTTGGGAGGGCCTTCTGTCATATTTCTTACTTACTAGCATTCCCAGCTTATCGTATGTGACTATTTTCATATTCAATGCCGTCAAAACGTCGTTAGGCTTTCAACAAAAAATCAAAAGCATGAAAAAGTCTACGTTGTACTAATGTAGAGTTTCTAGTGTTTAGACTTGGACACCTGCAGGCAGGGTATCACTTGATCCGGGTCGATTCGCCATAAATCACGTTTGATATACAGGTCGTTTCGCCTTAATTCAGTTCGCCAAAGGTTATAATTATATAATTTAAAGTCATGAACATCTGTTTGAAATGTTTTTAATCATTAAAAAGCTTACTATTTTCATGTTTCCCCACAGAATAAGATCCAAGTCCATGGATTCACAAGCATATGTCTTGTCTGAAGATTTCATGCAACGTTGTATGTGTAAAACTGGTCAACCACATACCAATAGCCATACACAACTACAGTACAGGACTAAGAAAATTCATCTTAAAATTATTTTAAGGGAGAAATGTCCCGACATGAACAGGATTTAGGGCGAACGACCTGACACAGGTATCACTCATGTTGGTGATCTCATTAAGTTTTCAAACAGGTGACTGATTGTCATAAGTAGTCGGTTCAATATGGACAGGTAAAATATCATAAACACAAACACTATTCCAAATAATAAGATGGCTCAAAATTCTGAAAATGCAGTCTGTTTTTTGCTGACAACCAGATAGAACACTGACTGTACATATACATGTATGAAGCTCTATATTGTGATGTACATTGTAGGTAAATTAAAACAGCATCTTTAAAAAAAAAATGAGTTTTAACAACTGACCAGTATCTGCACAGTAAAATTAATTATTTGATAGTGAATCGAAGTGATTGTGGGGACGCAGATATTTTAGTACTGGACTCATGCTTGTCCTGTTGAACTTTTTGATAACCCATTGTAAATATACATCTTAGTAATGTAACAGTCTGATTCTAGGGGTCTCTTTGTATAGATCACTCCAACGCTATCTTCGTTTCCATTCAGATTTATTCCGTATATATTAAACCATCTTCATAGACGAAGAGAGTCTAAATCCAGGGAGACAACCCGTACGTGACCAAGTAGCCAATCTTGCGCATACAATGAACTTAGAATTCCCAGCTCACTAATAAGCACTAAGTCTGCACAATTACATAACACATCTATAAACTTGTACGGGAGTGACAATGCCCCCAAAAGCGCGGGTGCGCACTGACCCATGGTCAATCTTACACAAAAATAGATTGACCCATGAACCTTGACAAACAGGTTTGCACAGGTGTCATTTGATATAAAGCAAAGTGTACATGTATATAGATACACTGTATATATAGTAAAAGCGCATCACTTAATACTCTGCTCTTAATGAAGAATTAAGTTTAAAAATAACCAGCTTTACAGGTAAAAGATATAACTTTCTCCCACACCTGACAGATTTATCTCCCGTTTTGCCGGTGCTAGATTTATCTGTCTCCGCCCTAGGATTGAGGTGGGGGGATTCCCCTATTCATAACAATGGCATGGCGTCACTTCAACAATACAATGACGTCACGTCAACAATCCATCAACAAATTGCCTGTATGTGTTTTGGGTCCATGTTAACCTTTATTTCACATTAAAATACTGTTAGATATGGGAGAAAAATAATCAATCGCTACTGGTTGTGTAAGATAGAGAAATCTCAACCCTCGGACTAAGATTTTTTGTCCAGAACTCGGCAAGCCTCGTTCTGGACAAAAAATCTTAGTCCTCGGGTTGAGATTTCTCTATCTTACACAACCACTAGCGATAGATTCTATTAGTCATTAAATAATGACACTGCTACAGTAATGGGACTAATCAAAATTTTGAAAAAGATACCCGGGACATGCTTGAAAATATGTAAAAAGAGTTGACTAAAAAAAACATGTAGACAATTTAAAGCTGACAGCATTTAGATATGCTGGTTTTAGATTATTTCAAACATTAAGTTATATTCTTGGCAACTTTTTGAAATTTCCATGGGAGAGATTCTGCATGCTCAAAAAATAAAAGCATATATAAAATATGTTTATATACCGCCTAGAGAAAAAGAATTATACACTTTTGAATGGTATATTTTCAGAGAGGGAGACAGGTTACAGAAGGAGCTGTCTATCCTATATGTATTTAATGTATAAGTCAAGTTTTTGTAAGACGGCTTCTATGCCTAATATTTGCCTTAACGTGGGACAAGCGAGGTTGATCTCCAATTAGGGAAAAGAAAACTCAATAACGTATTAGTTCAACAAAACACTAAATTTATATATACAACACAAAATGAAGCAGATTACATACAAATTATACACATATTACTCTCGCACACAATTCACAAAGTCTCTACACAGGTCATCAAATGTCATCCATGATCCAGGAATACGTTGAGTATGGGATCACAGCACTGTAGACTGGGTACAGACTCTGTACTGATGGTCTGTCCTTTTGACCACAAATATCACAAATGATATCCACAAGGAAAGAAACTACAGACAAAATATCACTTGTCTGTCTGCACAGCCGCTGATTGGCTGACTTCCAGGTACAAGAGATCTGACAACATCATGACGTACGATACCCTCGGAAAATGTTGGTCCTCTCTCTTGTTTCACACACAGAAACAGTACTCGGCAAAATGTGCCTTCTCTTCAACATGTATCCAATGTTTCTTTAAGTCCAGTCCGACAGCATCTGGTCCAGTATCATGACCCAGTTGGTCCTGTCCATCTGGTATCACATGTCTTCAGCCCGCATTGTTGCTTTAGAAACATAACCACGTTTAATTCACACAATTACACACATACATAATTATAAGCTTTATAATGTTCAAAGTGCACATTTCCAATATTATTCCTAAAATGAATCGTTAATATTACGAATATGACTTGAATAACTCTTGAGTAGTGAATAAATATATATAAATATACAAGAAAATGTAATAGTGACACGTTTTAACCCGTAATAGTGCTGATCCACGTGTTTACCAAGTTATATGAAAATTAACCGTACCCTCCCTATGGGCTTCCATACAATGAAATTCAATTAGCACTGAAGTTTTATAAAGATATATAAAATGTACAAATAACCTAAATACCTTCCAAATATCTAATATACATGTTTAATTTATATTTGGAAGTAGGATTGAACTAATGTACATAAAACCATAGTAAACAATTACAAATCACGGGATGATATGCATGATTGGACCGGTGTTGGAATAATACATGAACAACATTCCAAGGTAAAATAACACAGTTTAACATAATATAACCCACTATTAATATAACATATAATACTACCAACTCCCAATTAAATACTTACCACAGTCTGGATGGTTTCTGTGCCCATATTATTAACAAAAACAGTCGACACGGCCTGGTCGATCACTGTCATGGCTCCTGCTCGTGCATACTCACTTACCCACTACTCGTCCACTACGGAACCTCTGTTGCGTCATACAGGTAGTAACGACACGACACAATTAATACAGACACACACGAAACGTACAACAAGAATACATAGATCGTGACAGTGAGGAACTGAGCCGCCGCCAGCTAGTTCTATCTGTTGAAAACAAATCTAACCCTATCCTCTGTTTCGGCGCTACTCGCCTACTCTTTTTCGAAAAACTCAGAGGGATCTTTTTCGTGCGAGATTGGACAGTTCTTGGTTGGTTGGTTGGTTGGTTGACAGGTTTATCGCCTGCATGACTCCACCCATGCGGGTTTCGTCTCACTGACGGAGGTCGGTGTTCTGTCGGCGTTTGGACAGTTCTCACACGGGACACCTTTTGTTGTCCCATCCGACGAACTGTGGGTTAGTGGTTAGAGTCATGCAGGTTCTATAATCAGGAGTCTCCCTCCTAAATAGGGAAACTTGGCAAGTAGGAAGTTAAGATAATGACATGTATATATGTATTGTACTGTAATTTAGAATATGTATAACTTAATGGTAGTGACACTTAGGCCAAATAAAAATATGTGTGTTTCCTGTTTCGGTTCCCAAAAAAAATAGGGTAGGTAGGTAGGAAAAACATTTTATTTTATTTTGTTTTCTGGTGAAGATTATCTCCTGATTACCTTTGTGAATGTTAAAAATATGTAGTTTCCCTACTGCTTGACACTAGTTTTTAGTAATCCAAACTCCACTGATGGTCACCAGTGTTACATTCTCTTTTGTAATACTGATACTTTCTGTTCTCAATTTCCACTGCCTCCAGTTCAAATTGATTGAACAACAAAATAAGTACATTTATATTTACACTGTATTTACAACACAAAATTTTAATCCATCATAAAATATACATGTCTTCACTATTGTGAACTCAATCTCTCCACTCCAAACTTATCTCCAACTATAAAACGTAAAACTACACAGAATCAGCTAACACTGACATCACAGACAGGACTTCCCCCTCCTAGACTACAGATGGTCACACTAATCTACGGATTCCAACTTATATCATAGCCACAATTATCTACGGCTACTTAGTCACTATCTTCAAATAAAACTCTGGCACTGATCATGAGCCAATTGTAAGGCTAAAAAAAAATAAAGCAAAATATACCACTTAAACAAATAAACGGCTAATAAATGCATAACAGTGACTGTGAAAAACCATTAAAATGTATTAGGGTCTGCATGAAAAAATAGGGTTGGTCAGGAAACGGGAAACACAGCTATATTTGTATTTGGCCTTAGATTTCAGATATGTTAAAATCAATAAGTATGGTGGCAGTTAATCTTAGACTTTTACTGATGACAGAGGTTAAAATCCTCGGCTGTGGCCGCAGAGAACAAGACATTTACATTTTGGTTTTATTATAACCATATAAACCTGCATGTAAGATACTGACTTATAATGAGAACACTGAAGGACATACAATAGTTGTTGAAATATTTATGGTGTAGATGTTCGTGTTCATCAGCTATAACAAAGTGGAGCGTTGTGGTCAGTTCAAACATTTGTTTAATTTACTAGTATTAACTAATAAAGACTAAGTAATTGACTTAAAGTTACTACATATATTGCTGTCACAGTCAAATATAGTTCTACAAGTATATAATGCTGCTTAGCTTAACCAGTCATAGCTTTATCTGTGTTAATCTAAACAAACACTTTTTAAGATCAACCACAGGTACTAGCCTCGTCTGTCATTACACCTATAGTTTATATTATAGGTGTATTGACAGACGAGGCTAGTACCTGTAATTATATTATAGGTGTATTGACAGACGAGGCTAGTACCTGTGATTTTATTATAGGTGTATTGACAGACGAGGCTAGTACATGTCCCTGTGATTATATTATAGGTGTATTGACAGACTAGGCTAGTTCCTGTGATTATATTATAGGTGTATTGACAGACGAGGATAGTACCTGTGATTATATTATAGGTGTATTGACAGACGAGGCTAGTACATGTACCTGTGATTATATTATAGGTGTATTGACAGACGAGGCTAGTACCTGTGGATCAACATTTTCCATGACAAAGAAATTTAAATGTTTTTCTTGACTCATTTGTCAATAACATAAAATGATAATAAGTTTCTTTTACATTTCAGATGTTTCGATGATGTAAACATGCTTGTGAATCTAAGTTTGGGACCAGTGTTGGTAACCAATATAATTCTTCAGACATACCTTACTGAAAGTGAATGTAAAGGAACAATTTGGGAAATGTAATGAGCTCTAGCTTAGCAGCATATTCTGTGTCAGAAGGAATCAAATAAAGTAAACAAATCGATAGCTGTATTTTTCTATATTGAGCCATTCATGTTAAAAAGCATCAAAGTAGGCTTTGTGAAAAAGATCTTGCCCTTGATGATGAATATGTCTGACAGTGGAAGTAATGAAACCTTGTCTACAAGGCCGGGACAACACAACCACATAGACATGTCTCTGGACATCGTGAAGATGCAGCCTGCTACAAAGCATGTGGTGCAGCAAACCTCGGAGGAGAAGCAGGGAATCCTGAACGCACGAGCTTTCCTTTTCCTCGTCCTCTGGTACATCTTCAGTGCATGCACTCTATTCCTGAACAAGTACATCCTTGCCACACTTCGTGGAGATCCAGCACTCCTAGGTATAACTGCAGTGTTTTTTTACCTAGATTTTACAGCAGCCTGTTCCTTTATGAATTCTAAAAATACAGCAGTATTTTTATTGTAATGGGGGATATATATTCCTCATTCTTGGTCATTTTGGGAAAATAAGGCACTTTAAAGCTAGGGAAAAAACAGCCTGTATTTGACTGTAAGAGTGAGCAAAAAAATCACTAACAAAATGTCAACAGACTTCCTCCTCATAAAACTCATATAACCATATCAAGGTTGTTCATTGTTTTAATGATTAGAAGAAAAAAATCCAATTTGCAAAAGTGTTTTATTATTATTTAAAATTTCTTTTTAACCACAACACAATTCATTTTATGATTTCCCTTCAAGAAAATTTCTAAATAATGTGATCATGACAATGGACATTCCTATGTTCTAATAACAAAAGACAAATGAGGAAAATAATGAAAAGTCGTTTTGAGATGATCATATACATTTGCAGCATGAGTTTTTCACAATCAACCCAAGAAAAATGGAAATTCATAAAATAAATTCCTGATAATTTAATTCCGTCTTTGCGTATTGCAGAGTTATCTTCTCTTGTGAGCAGGCATTGATTGTTACCTCATTGGTTTGTGTGAGAAAATTACGTCGTTTTCTCAAAAATTGATGACGTTACTCTCACAAACAAGTGACGTAACAATCAATACCTGCTCCCAAGAGAAGATAACTCTGCAATATGCAAAGACGGAATACAATGTATATCATACTTTCTGATGATTTATTATAATTAGTGTGGTAGGTACACTGATTTTAACCCATAGCAGATTGTTTTAATGGATAAGAACACAACAATAACATTTTGTTGTTTAATTTTCACAAGGATGTATACGTACCTCACTTGATTGTTACATTCTCACTTACATGCAACTCAGTAGTGTGTTAGGTTTTCACTTTCCAGCTCTAATATGTTGAAATCATTCTTTCTCTGCTGAACGGGGCCTGTACTAATCATATGAAAGAAAGACAACAGTTTGGTAGCCAGTGTTCCTTAAAAGCTTATATAATATAGTCTAGAGTTATTGGAGGGTACGCATGCTACCTTACACATTATACCTTTGATATGTATTAGAGTTAAGGTTATATGCTACCTTACACATTATACCTTTGATACAATTAGAGTTAAGGTTATATGCTACATTACGCATTATACCTCATATTGGTATTAGTGTTCAGGACTTAAGGGAATATGCTACCTTAAGCTTACACTCGTTATTAGAGTAATGATAATATGCTAACTTTTGTATTATACCTGTAATTATTATTAGAGTTAGGTTATTTGCCATCTTACACACTTGTATACTTGTGATTGGTATTAAAGTTAAGGGTATATGCTACCTTACCTATTATACCTGTGATTTGTGTTATCAGAATTATCTCCCTTTGCCAGGTTGTTCAAAGTCTGATCAGCTCTTTGAGTCAAAAAATGATCAAAATGTTCATTTTTCGAGATTTTTTTTTAAGATTTCCAACTACATTTATAAGTTAATAGGTAATGTACTGTATGTCTAAATATAAATTCTTATCATTTTTCGAGATTTTTTTTACAGGAGCCATGCAAATGGTGATGACCACAGTTTGTGGGTTTTTACAAATGTACCTACCGCTCGGATTCTACAAACCTGTAGAGAGAGATGGAAAGCCTCCAAACTTTTGGAGAAATATGATATTAGTTGGAACGATGAGGTAACTGAATTAATCAATATACCATGTATATTCAGGTTCAAAGAAAGATGTGTTTGCTGTAGTCCATGAGATGATTGTTCAATGTGACTAATGTGTGCTTCCTCTAGAAATCATAGTTTTGTGTCAATTTTTTAGCAGACATTTCACAAACCAAACTTGATCTGCTGTACTCATTACTATGTTTGTTATCTGTTCCTTTTGAACCCCTGTAATATTTGTGTTTCCAATGACATGTCTAGAGTTAACCCATTATCATGGGGTGACTGCAGACCTATATTTGATGATTCAAAATAATAACAACAATACATTGTTTCTGATGGTTTCCATATGCCACGGTTCTACTATTTCTCATGGACGATACATATGTTTCTTATGAAGTTATTATAACAAGCTATGTATGGGCTACATATTCATGTATTAAATCTTTTGCAGATTTTCCACTGTAGTTCTTGGACTAGTGGCCCTAAAGTTTGTCGCTGTCTCATTTACGGAGACAGTGAAGAGTTCGGCTCCATTATTCACCGTGGCTATATCATGGATGTTGATTGGAGAGTATACGGGGGTGTACACATTCCTTTCCCTCATCCCTATCATGGCCGGACTGGCCCTGTGTTCAGCCTACGAACTCAGTTTTAATATTCAGGGTTTTATAGCTGCATTGGCAACAAATCTAACAGAGTGGTGAGTCTTGGTATTGGCAGAAAATGTGAATCATTAAACTTTTGTGAAGACTTAATTTCATTTGTTTGTGCATCTACAAAGGATTTAGTTGAGAGCAAATAATGAGGATTTAAACTGATATAACCTATGACCGCTAAGGCCTTTGGGCCTCTTGTTTAAGTATGCTGCCTCTGATAAATATAGCATAATGCCATTATTTTTATTACCGTTATGTACATGACCTGTGAAAATGGGTCACTGCTTAGCCTATCAGTCGACCAGTGTAACTATTTTATAAAGGCGATTGTAAACAGATTATAGTTTTTCACATATTCATTGTATTCTTTTCCTATCTTTTTTATTTCTCTATTTCAGTATTCAAAATGTTTATTCCAAATTACTGATTAGTGGGGAGAAATACAAATACACGTAAGTAAAACTCAGTTATCCGGACTTTTGGTATGGCTGCGAGAGGTGTAGAAGTTAACGTTCACCTACAGTACAGTTATTGACGTGATAGCTGAGTTAGTCAATAAGTAGTGTGGCTGTATTGGCTAATGTTTTATATAAGTTTTAATTTCTTGTCTGGTTCTGATATAACAAACAGCAAATAGGTGGATGATAATTACAAAACATCATCACATGACTGGTACCTTAGATTATTGCCTGTTTGTCAATTTTGGGTGGGAATGTGTTAGCCTGTGTCTTTATACAGTAACTAGTGTAATAATTTATGTTTCTTTTGTCTTTCAGTCCAGCAGAGTTGCAGTTCTACACCAGTATTTCATCAATAATTGTACAAATTCCAGCCTGTTTCTTTCTCATAGATCTGCCAAATGCACAGAAATCATTAGACTTTACCATGTTAATTGTGCTCATAATAAATGGCACATTTTTTCATTTCCAAAGTATATCAGCGTATGTGTTAATGGGATATATATCACCTGTTACACATAGGTAAGTAAATATTACCTGTTACATTGATTAGACAGGTTTAAGATAAGATAATAATTTCTCCCACGACCACTATAGGTTTCCTCACTAACGACTCGTTGGATAGTGTTGGTTACCCGCAGTGCCACTAGTTGGCAACACCCTTGACATTATTTCATTGGTCAACCTTCTTATTAATTTATGATATCATAGGTAATGGCAATTGTTTCCCCGATCAGAAACAGAAATACTGTATTCCCAATAAAAACATGATTTTTGTCTTGCCGCCACGAAGTAGTGGAAGCGAGACAAAGGTGTTGCATTTCCGGCGACGCCCTCAACATTAAGTTTTTGCGTTTAACTTAGTTTCACTGAAAGTATAAGTGCTAGACCAACCAAACTTGAACCATAGATGCATCTTAGGTAGTTCACTTCTACTCATGCATCAAATGCTGGATGCAGCCTACCTTTCATGGTCCATTGCCTTTTTCAGCATCTCCATCAACATTAAGTTTTAGCGTTTAAGTTAGTTTCTCTGATATGTGCATTGACGGTCAAAGCGGGGCACAGGTGAGACATATCAATCGGAATGGCTTGTTTAGATATAATACCTTAACATCGAGAAAAAGGTTCCCAAACTCGTGATGGATGATTATCGTGTTAATCAAACTCTTGATAGTTAATTTTCAAATTTTGTTTTAATGTATCAAATTTTCATGTACCTTTGTTGGACAGAAGTCTGATTATCACAGCTGTTTTTATTGGTGATAATAATGGTATATTTCTCAATTTGAATGGGATATTTTTGAATTTAAATGTGTATAATGGCCACTAGCAGCTGTACTTTCTAATCAATTAATATAGGGTTTTACCCAGTTGTCCAACTTCCATGCTTTACAGATTTTCATCAAAGTTTATACAAAGGTCAAGTATGAAAATACCTTAGATGAGGTGATCAGGTCCTATTTCAGGGTCAAAAGGTACCGGGTAGTCATGTTTTACAGATGTTGTTTTTTTTACTTTTATATGTTTTTGTCAAAATGTTATAAAATTTGCTTTCCACAGTGTGGCGAATACAGTAAAGAGAGCATTCCTGATATGGATATCTGTGATATTGTTCAGCAATCCTGTGACATTCTTCAGCGGACTAGGTACATGTGTTGTTACCATTGGAGTGCTGCTGTATACAAAGGCCAAAGAGTATGACCAGAATTTACAAAATCTAAAGCAGCTTTACCGACCCAGCCCCTCGCTGATGGGGGATGCCAAGGAAATCTGAGCAACTTTGATATGTTATTTTGTTTTTTCCATGATGATTGTTAATTATAGTACAATGACATTAAGTAACATGGACATATGTTGGTACTGTTAGATTTTTATTTGTCGGCACAGTTATGTTTCTGTGTACAGTAAACTTCAGCCTTGTTAGCCTGGACACTTTTGTTTTCTGTATACAGTAAAACTTTTAAGTCTTTAAAATTTGGTTGAATGTTTATTTTGTTATATTTTGTTCAAAGGAATTTTATAAAACCAGTAGTTTTAAGGAAAAACATCTTCATAACATATGATCTCTGTCACCTTCGTCAGAACAGCATTTGTACATTTGAAAATGTACAAGATGACAATCAAATTAACAAGTCAATTTGAATCAGTAAATGGATTGAGATATGCTTTGTTTAGTATATCAATGATTCATGTCATAGATTTGTATGTCTCTTTGGGACTCCTCATCTCAGTTCTGAAAAGTATACTCCCCCTTTTTCTGTCTTCACTGAAAAGAATTATATTACCAGCAACTTCATTCCTCAAGGGAATTACATGAAACTTGATACTAGATTGTAGTATGACAATACCTTGACCAGGTTTGCGTTTAAGGTTTCTACCTTGAAGGTCAAGATCACTGTTACTATTTTTATAAAAACTTTATCATTGCTCTGCACCGACTTCATTACTGGAATGAAATTTCATGAAACTTGATAAATGTGTTTGATATGACAATACCTTGAACATGTTGGCGTTTCGGAGTTCTACTTTGAAGGTCAAGGTCACTGTTACTATTCTAGGAAAAAAAATTGTCATCACTCTAGCGACTTCATTTAATACTGAACAGAATTTTATGAAACTTCATGCAAGTGTTTGGTATGGCAATGTCTTGGACAAGTTCTTGTTTCCCGGTTCTATACTTAAGGTCAAGTTCCCTGTTACTATTATAAGAAAAACTTTGTCATCGCTCTATCAACTTCATTCCTCAATGCAATTTCATGAAACTTCATACAAGAGTTGGGTATGGCAATGTCTTGAACAATTTTCGCGTTTCAGGTTACTGCATTAAAGGTCAAGGTCACTTTTACTATTTTTACCAAAAACTTTGTCATCGCTCTATCGACTTCATTTCTTTTTACATATATGTCACAATGTGTGAATGCGAGGGGATTTGTATCACTTATGATGCCGTGTTTTAAGTTATTAATGTTGTTTCATTGTTTTTGACATTACACAATGATTTCTGCCATGTAATTTATGTCATACAATATAAAGTTGTTTTTTTGCATTTTAGGTCTCTTTTTTTATGCACACTTATTGTGTTTGCATTTAATGAAAGATAATTAAGTGTGAAATTTTCTTTTCAACTTTTCCCATTATGAAACCAAAATATGCAGAAAGCAAACCAATGTATATGAACTTTGTAAGTGTTGCTACAGTGGGGGGAGGGGTTATCCTTACCATCAGTGTACAAGTATTGTCACAGTGGGAGGAGGGGTTATCCTTACCATCAGTGTACAAGCGTTGCCACAGTGAGGGGAGGGGATATCCTTACCATCAGTGTACAATTGTTGTCACAGTGGGGGGAGGGGATATCCTTCCCATCAGTGTACAAGTGTTGCCACAGTGGGGGGAGGGGTTATCCTTACCATCAGTTTTTCACCACAATTGACAGCATAAATGCATAACCATGACCATGGCACTTTGTTGCCACAGTGGGAGGAGGGGTTATCCTTACCATCAGTGTACAAGTGTTGCCACAGGGGGGGGAGGGGATATCCTTACCATCAGTGTACAAGTGTTGCCACAGGGGGGGGAGGGGATATCCTTACCATCAGTGTACAAGAGTTGCTACAGTGGGGGGAGGGGATATCCTTACCCTCAGTGTACAAGTGTTGGCACAGTGGGGGGAGGGGATATCCTTACCATCAGTGTACAAGAGTTGCTACAGTGGGGGGAGGGGATATCCTTACCCTCAGTGTACAAGTGTTGTCACAGTGGGGAGAGGGGTTATCCTTACCATCAGTGTACAAGTATTGTCACAGTGGGAGGAGGGGTTATCCTTACCCTCAGTGTACAAGTGTTGCTACATTGGGGGAGTGGTTATCCTTACCATCAGTGTACAAGTGTTGTCACAGTACTGGGGGGAGGGGATATCCTTACCATCAGTGTACAATTGTTGTCACAGTGGGGGGAGGGGATATCCTTCCCATCAGTGTACAAGTGTTGCCACAGTGGGGGAGGGGATATCCTTACCATCATTGTACAAGTGTTGTCTCAGTTGGAGAGGGGATATCCTTACCATCAGTGTACAAGTGGTGTCACAGTGGGGGAGGGGGTATCCTTACCATCAGTGTACAAGTGTTGTCACAGTACTGGTGGGAGGGGATATCCTTACCATCAGTGTACAAGTGGTGTCACAGTGGGGGAGGGGGTATCCTTACCATCAGTGTACAAGTGTTGCCACAGTGGGAGGAGGGGTTATCCTTACCATCAGTGTACAAGTATTGTCACAGTGGGAGGAGGGGTTATCCTTACCCTCAGTGTACAAGTGTTGCTACATTGGGGGAGTGGTTATCCTTACCATCAGTGTACAAGTGTTGCCACAGTGGGGGAGGGGATATCTTACCATCAGTGTACAAGTGTTGCCACAGGGGGGGGAGGGGATATCCTTACCATCAGTGTACAAGAGTTGCTACAGTGGGGGGAGGGGATATCCTTACCATCAGTGTACAATTGTTGTCACAGTGGGGGGAGGGGATATCCTTCCCATCAGTGTACAAGTGTTGCCACAGTGGGGGGATGGGATATCCTTACCATCAGTGTACAAGTGTTGGCACAGTGGGGGGAGGGGATATCCTTACCATCAGTGTACAATTGTTGTCACAGTGGGGGGAGGGGATATCCTTACCATCAGTGTACAATTGTTGTCACAGTGGGGGGAGGGGATATCCTTCCCATCAGTGTACAAGTGTTGCCACAGTGGGGGAGGGGATATCCTTACCATCAGTGTACAAGTGTTGCCACAGTGGGGGGAGGGGTTATCCTTACCATCAGTTTTTCACCACAAATGACAGCATAAATGCATAACCATGACCATGGCACTTTTTCAATTGGGACCAAAATGATATAAAAAAAATTACATTGTTTTATATACATTGGCCATATATTTAACACAATCATGGGTTTCATAGAATATTTAGTATGATCGGTGTTTTGTTTGAACAAATCTATTTTATGCTTATTTAGAGTAAATATTTAAAAGCACTAGTAAACATTACAAAATTCATGCTCATTATGTATATATTTTAATTCCTACAACTTGATTCCATTTGCTGGTCCATTGCAGTATTAGTGATGCAGCTTGATTCTACAAATAATTGTTTAGATAATATGATTGGACAATAATCAGATCACAAGTGGTATGTATGAAATAAGATACAGACACATTGACAAAAATACTGAAATATTTTACATTTAATTCTCAGAGATTACTCAAGGAAGTTAAACTATCACATAGGCCATGCAGGGCACTAAGGTTCATGGCCATCAAAAGGAAGTCCAGAAGTTTCTGTTGGGTGCTGGGTTTATCTTGTATCTAGATCGGGGCTTGTTTCCAGATACAATCCTCATAATCATTACAATTAAACACTCGTTTAGGTAAGGAGGACGGGGAGGGGCGATGGAGTCTTATTATAAAACATATCTTGAGTGCTCCTGCACTAGAAACATGGGTCGAATTAATGAGGAAAAAAAACGTAGCTGAAATATTTTCTTTTATACATGTATTACATTTTTTGCATCTGAATGTCAAATACTTCTGTTGATTTGCTAAGAATACATAATGTGATATAAATAGCAAAGACCCCACCCTGAAATCTTCATTCTTTTGTCAAAAAGTCATTTTAAAGAAGCTCTGTATGAAGGGCAAGTGAGCTTATACTATAGAGTGGTATCCGTCATCCCATTTGTCCGCTTTTCCTCTAAAAGGTCACTTATCCAGAACTGTTGAAATAATTTTGCCTAAATTTGGTCTGGAGCATCCTTTGGAGAAGGGGTGTGGCTGCCTTTGGGCAGAGGGGCAGGATTTTATAAAGGAAATATAGGTAAATCCTTTAAAGTCTTACTTTGCTTGGTATGATGAGAAAAAACATCCATGCTACTTGGATTGCTTCTTGGTCTGTTCTCGCCCCTGGGGGCTTGGTCATAACATGGAAACAGTTGAGATACACACCCCTAACCATATGTACAATTGCTGGGCATGAAGAAACCAGCACAGGCATCCTTTCAGGATTAACAAATCAACCAGTGGCCCTGCGCCTGGAGACTTATTTGCAATATTGCTCTAAATGAGAATGCCTTGTCATGATTGCATTAAATATCAAGGTGAGCAATACAGGCCCTCTAGGCCTCTTGTTACTGAATTATATCAAATATGCATTTGATTGGTATAGTAGAACAGTTATTGACCCTGTTTCGGTATGACACAAGATCTGCTAACTAGACAGGCTAAACTTTTCCTGTGGGGGAAGTTGTCCGTCCCAGGTAGACAAATCCTTGACAGCACACCAAACAATGTAAAAGCTCTAAAAAGTGTTGTGCACTTATCTTTTAAAGAATTTTTTAACAAAATCTGTAACTTTTAAGATCAAATAGAGGCCAATTTGTGTAATGTTTGATTTTAAGCTCATGTTTTAACTAAGACAAGACATGATTTAAAAAGAAGGGGAACAAACTTGAGTACCCAGAAAAAATTCACATCTGATCGGGGAATCAAACTGTTGCCGTTTTGATGTATTGCGAACTTTTACCTTTGACTACTATTAAATAATAATTATTTTCTTATCATTTTGTTCCATGTGTTTATGTCTTTTCAAGAAGGCAAAAAGTTTCCAACTCAGCCATTGGTAAGTCCAGTTTTAAGTAATTCAAAAACTCATGTTATTAAATAGGACTGAGGTTTAAGTAATGTGTAGAAAATAACTGTTACAGTATAAAATAGACTTTATAGCATCACTTAGCTGTTACAGTATATTAAAATAGACTTTAAAGCATCACTTAGCTGTTACAGTATAAAATAGACTTTATAGCATCACCTAGCTGTTACAGTATAAAATAGAGTTTATAGCATCACTTAGCTGTTACAGTATAAAATAGACTTTATAACATCACTTAGCTGTTACAGTATAAAATAGACTTTATAGCATCACTTAGGCATAT